GTGTGCTGGTGTGCATATGCTGGCAAGCAAATAAATAATCCTCAAATTTATGCATGAGGTGTAAACGTAATAGTGCTCAATGTGGTTAGACAGAGCAAAGATATGTATTAATTAGTACATATATATATATATATATATATATATATATATATATATATATATATATATATATAGTGATAGAGAGAGAGAGAGAGAGAGACAGAGAAAGAGAGAGTGAGAGATCTACATTAGAAAATAAAGAAGGACGAGGAATACTAAAAGTGAACTAACATCCGGACTGGAGAAAACAAATTGGAAAAAAAAGCAGCAAGGCCCGATGGGATTGTAACAGAAATGCACAGAAGTAATAAACGAAATATACAACAATGGTCACATACCTGAAAACCTGACTAAATCCATCTTTGTAACATTACCTAACAGACCAGATGGAAACGAAAGCTAGCTCCATAAGATAATCAAGTTAATGAGCCACATAACTCAACTAATGATGCGAATCGTGCGGAATAGAACGGAAACAGAATTAGACCGGTAATAAGACAAGGACAGGCGTGACTCTGAAATAAGAAATGCGATATTCATGATTAGAATGACATCAGAGCCAGTAACACAAATGCAGAACGATGTGCACATTTTTATAGATTACGCAAACGCATTTAGCAAGGTACAACACAAGGATCTATTTGAACTACGAGGAAAACTCGATCTATTTGGAAAATATTTTAGAATAATCCAAAACTTATACTGAGAGGAAACGACCTGCATATATGCCGATAGAAAATGAATTGAGTAGCTACACAAAGCGAAACAATCATGTGTTTTCTCAGATTTATTCAACCTCTATCCTAAGCAAACTGGACACTCTACCAGGATTAATTATAGGTGGGCGTAATCTTAACAATATAAGAAATGCAGATGACACTGTGTTGATGACTGAATCGGAACGAAAACTACAGGACTTCCTAGACAGGTTGGTAGAAGAAAGCGATAAATAAGGACTACAAGTGTAGAATAACAATAATAAACAGCACTTACAAGAGTCCCAGTGGCAGACAAAAATAAAAAGCAGGTTGTAACTAATACAAACCCCTGCAAACTAACTGAGAAATCATGCTAGTATTTATATAGAAATCCCACCAGGTACCAATCCAGCCCAAACAATAGACTATCCCAAGCATAATGAGATGCTCCATTGCACCATAAATAGCTCTCTTTCTCAATGTTGAATTAATTCACCCTTGCAAACAACTGAGTGTTTATCTTGACCACGTGATTGTTCGACAACAAGAAGACAGTAAGGTCATCAGCAAGAGAAAAAAGTCCAAGATGCGAGTTACGAACTGGAAAAATAAAAATCAAGGAGGTCCAAGAGTTCAAATATCTGGAAAGAGGATGGAAAATATCGAAAGAGACATCCGAAAAGTTAACCAAAGAGCTGAGTAACCGGAAAATTTATTTAGAAACAAAGTGCTTGATTCCTCTGTGATATCCATCCTTTTATATGTCAATGAATGTTGGACAATTTCCCCACGGACGAGAAAAAGAAAGTCCCCCAAAAAAAAAAAAAAAAAAAAAACAAAAAATAACAAACTATATATTTATACTTTCTATAAAATTCCAAAAAAAAAATTCTTGAGAAAAATGAAAAAGAAGGAGACCTGGAAAAAAAATATTTACCCTCACTGAATAAAGAAAAAATAAGAAGGCAGACCTGGAAAAGCTTAACCCTCACTGAGTGCAGAAGAGATAGGGGAAGGCAGCGAGCCACATGCCTAACAACCTTATGTGAATTGATGACGGGAGCCTTAGCACAGGAAGGAAAACTGCTAAGAGCCACACGATATAGGAAGCTGTAGAGAGCCATGATCTCATATGTTCTGAAGGGATATGACACACATAAGAAGAAAGAGAGGCTTGCTACGTTTTGTCTGTGGGAATAACAAGCTGAAGTTGACAGTTTGATAAAGAATAACAAAAGGGTTTAGAACACTTGTTGATCTTTTATATAATTTACAACGTATATTTTATCTTCATCCTTTATATGTCAGGCCATGGCTCACTACAACTTCTGCTCCTTTACTAAACGTCTTTGTACTTTTCCGTCAATCAACCTTGTCAAATTAGTTAATCACTATATATATATATATATATATATATATATATATATATATATATATATATATATATAGTCATCCAAAGACAGTCTGTTTTGCTGTATCAGTATGTCTAGACATCAGATTGCTTCAAGCCAGAATCGAAACCCGAAGCTTCATTAAATATGACAGACAAGGTACTTTGATTTCAATCCTTCTTTTCTTAAAACATTTCACGGCCTGAACGATATCACACACACATACACGTACACACACACACACAGAGACACGCACACACATGTATATATATTGTGTATTTAGGTATTATATTTGAAAATGGCTAAATATATAGCCGAAAGTGCTCGGAAAAATATAATATTTGGACAGTCTTTGTATAATTTATCTACTAAAGAGATAAAAATTATAAGATCATATGAGAAATTATATGAAAAACTTAATCAAAGCACTTTGTCATATTTAATGAAACTTGCATGAAAGAAGGATTGCTGCCTAAATACGGAATATATATATATATATATATATATATATATATATATATATATATATAATATCGTTCAGGCCGTGAAAGGCTTTATGGAAAGAAGGATTAAAAATACAGAAGTTAAGCATGCGGCTAGGTGTATCGAGGAGGTGACATACCTCCCAGGTAAGCGATCTAAGGAAGACTTGACTTGTAACATTTGTGGCCGTATCTACTTGTTGAAAGCAAGTATGACCAGTCATATGAAATCACACCAAAGGATACCTAATGTATGACATTCTGGATGACTTTTTATGTGCCATCTGTGGGAAGGTATGTAGAAATTCTAGAGGCCTAACAAGGCATTTTAAATCAAAACATCCAGATCAGTCACTGGCCAATAACCGTCTAACATGTACATCATGCAGTCTGAAGTGCAAATTCAGTGACAGGTTTTAAGAGTCATCTAAGACTACACCATCGAGATGAAAATCAGAAGTGATTCGGAACGAGTTTAAGAAGTGGTCATGCTCGGTTATATGTGGATTTACACCATGTATATATGTAATAGATCTGATCAACTTAATCTCCATCGTAGTAGTCCCCTTATGAAGTCACAGACGTTCTCCATCCTCCTTTCCAATAATGGAATCATTCCTGGAATTCTTTTTGGGGGATAGCGAGCAGATGCCTTGTTGAATTCTCTTGGATTTCCTGAAAGTTTTCCAATCTTGTTCTTTCAGGTGAGATTTGATTTTTGGAGAAAGGCGAGATCTGGGGAATATTGTTGGTCTCAGACGTGAGCAATGTTGTACTTGGCCAAAAACTGCTGCACCATCCACTGAATATAAATTTAAATGAGATCTAATTGAGCTATGATCAGAAAGGTTTAGAGTGATTCTGCGTGTCAAACATGTAGTGTGGCCTATATAATTATTTACGAATTTTGATTGATCAGGAATACAATTCCTTAATGAGCATTTAAATTCTCAAATAATATTTGCCCTATGCTTGACACGCAGACTCACTCTACACCTTTCTGACCATAGCTCAGTTAGATCTCAGTTTAAATATTCATGGTGACTTACCGGACACTATTCGTAGCATACTTGTTGACAACACTGATATAATAGCATCATCTATATGCAAAAAAGGCTAAAAATAATGGAAGCCTTATTAATAAAAACAAAAAGACCAACACTTAATAATATTAACTTTGAACATGGACACAATATCTTGACCGTGTTTTGAAAAACGAGAGCATTTCATAAAACATACATGAAATAAACTATTTCTTATTTAACAGTTAAAATATTTAATCTTTGAAAATGGCTAAATGTATAGCCGAAAGCGCTCGGATAAAAAGGACATTCGGACTGTTTTTATAGAATTTATCATCCGAAAAGAAAAAAAATTAGATCGCATGAGAAATTGGGTAAAAAAATGAAATAAAAGCACCTTGTCTGTCGTATTCAATGAAATGTGCGCGCACACACACACACATATATATATATGAGTGTGTGTGTATGTGTGTGTGCGTCTGTGTGTGATAAGATAAGGAACAAATGGGAAATGTTTATCAATCGAACATGTTTCGCTTTTTTTAAGCTTCATCAGAAGTGAAATATGGAAGAGAAAAGAAAATTGTGGTATTCTTCATTTTAGTTTTCATTGATTAAGTAGACAGTCTATGTAAAACCCAAACCTGTGTAGCCTAAATTTTTTCACTCCAACACAAGACATCCCCAAATTAACGTACGGAGACTACTAGAAAAAAAATGGCCAGTAAACACACAAACGCACACACACAGACATTATCAACCACAGACCAACTAGAATTATGATATATAATCACACAATAATTATACACGCGAACGCTTGCTGACTAGACAAATGAAAAAATAATTAACATAAAAACAAAACAAAAAATACAATTTTTCTTCTCTATATTTCCATTCTGATGAAGCTTAAATATAAGCGAAACATGTTAAATTTATAAAAGTTTCCTATTTGTTCCTTATCCTATCATTCTGTGGGACTATAATACATATTTGACCCCAAGTAATATGTGTGTCTGCGTTACGACTAGATTTCTTGAATGCGCAGGTTGATAGTCATAATAAACAGTTTTCTGTTGGCTTTGTGAACATTTTCGAATAGTTCGACATTGTCATATAAAAGACTGCCATCTGGCATCAACGGGGCAAGAAAGGTAACTAGTGCCATATTTCTTTCACTTCCGACAATAACAACTACAGACGTGACAGATAAAATATATGCAAATGTACTTTCGCTCTTTTTATAGTAAGTGATTACTTAGTAGCGTTTCTTCCCCCTATTTTGCTATTTTATATGACGTATTTTCGTCTATAACGAAATGAATAGAAATTATTAATCGCTAAACTATTTTTATAGTTACAACAGTCAATATGCGGACTTCCTGTCACGTGAATCTTGCACGAAATGATAAAAACGGAAGTAAAACAGCTGGCAGCTTATTTACATTTCTTCCTTTCTTTCTTTCTTGCTTTCACGTGATTTAATCATTTTAACTTTTATTTCTTTCTCTTTTTTTTTCTCATGATTTAATCATTTTGGGTTCTTACCGTCTCTTTCTTCACTTTTGTTACTTCCTTTTTTATCTTTCTTTCACGTGAATTAATTATTATGTAGTTTTTACTGTTTTCTTTCTCTTGTATTTTTCAAGCCATTTTCTTTCTTTATTCGATTCTTTTTTTTTTTCTCTCATGATTTAATCGATTCGTATTTTTCTTTTGCTCTTTCTTGCCGTCTTTAGTTCTTTCTTTCGGTCCTTCTTTCTTGCTCTTTTTAGTTCTTTCTTTCGTTCTTTTCTTTCTTGCTTTCTTTGGTTCTTGCTTTCGTTCTTGCTCTCTCTAGTTTTTTCTTTCGTTCTTTTCTTTCGTTCTTTTCTTTCTTGCTCTCTTTAGTTCCTTCTTTCGTTCTTTCTATCTCGTTCTCTTTAGTTTTTCGTTCTTGCTCTCTTTCGTTCTTTTTTACTTCTTTCTTTCGTTCTTTTCTTTCTTGCCCTTTTTACTTCCTTCTTTCGTTCGTTCTTTCTTTCTTGTTCTCTTTAGTTATTTTTTTGTTCTTACTCTCTTTCGTTCTTTCTTCCTTGCTCCCATTCGTTCTTTCGTTCGTTCTTTAGTTCTTTCTGTATCTCTCTTTCGTTTTCTAGCTTTTTCTTTCTTTCTTTCTTTCTTTCTTTCTTTCTTTCTTTCTTCACTTTTTCTTGTCTTCTTTTTCTGCTGACATTCATATTCTGTTTCTTTCTTTATATCCTCTCGAATATATTTCTCTAATCATACATTTATCTCCCGATTCAAAACTATTTTCCTTCTTTCCTGCCCTTCCTCCGTTCCAATGCTTTTCACTTTCCATCCAGTCGCATCTTCCTTCTCTTCTCATTAAACAGATCAGCCATTTTTTTTTTTGCCTTTGGGCAGCTTCTGCCAGTGAGTGGACAGATAACGCAACAAATCCGGCTTTTGATCCGATACAAACGCCCTCCGTCCATTAAAAGTCATCTCTGTCATCCGTCAGTAACTTCTGATCGACAGTAATTTCCCTTCGAGACACAGTTGCTTCTCATTTTCCAGAGTTGATATTTGTACCAATTATAAAGAATTACAAATTTTACAATTGTATTCATCGATTGAGTGCAGCGGTAAAAATAGTGCAAAATTTTTTAGCTGCAATTAATGCGCTAAGTTCGGACTAATTCCTTCGTCTTTTTTTTTTAACAATATTTGGGTCATGTACTCTACGACCTTCCTCAAAAGTCTGAAATATTTTAAAATTTTGTTATAAGGTAGCATACGACACTTTCCAGTGAAATGTTATATTCGATACTTGTATTTTCATGGGCTGTAGTTGAACTTTTAGCCTGCGCTCACATACCTAGGGCCGTGTTTTTAGTTGATTGCATGATTTTCATTTTTATGATGTATCAACCCTTTATTAATATTTAACAAATTTTTGGATTGTAAGTACAATTATTCTTTTTTAGACTGAATATGGCACTAACATATTTTGGGAGATACTGATTTTCCTTGGATACAAGCCATAATATTTAACCCATTGTTTGGGAGAAAAGAGAGAAAGTTCATACTTTTCTCAAGGGCACTTGCATGTAAGTGACTATAACCAACTAGAATGGAATCGAACTCAGCACTCAGCTATTCATTACACCACCCGCATCTCCTCTATGTTTTTAAAATATAAAGTTAATCACTTGTTCATTCTTGATTAATGGTGGTTCTCAAAATCTATTGATGCCTGGATGTGGAATCTCCGTGGAAACTATACCTTGTTTAAAAATTCTTCATTTTCAGTCAAGTTAGATCTACAAAAATTTAAATGCAATATCAATCGCTATCTTCTGTTTCTTGATTTTTGCTAATTTATTGTTCTTGCTCCATAATAATGCTTTTATCTTTCTTATATTCTTTCACACTCAATAATGACTTTTGTGACTTTGTTGGCTTGCTTGGGATGAAATGATTATATATATATATATATATATATATATATAATTATTTATTTAAAAATTATAACATAAATATGTTATAACATCACTACAAAAATAGCCGTGTTGTTTCAACACCTCCGGTGTCTTCTCAAGTAATGATGGTGAATGTAGAACCGCATTCAACATCATCACTTGATAAGACACTGTAGGTGTTGAAACAAAATAGTTATTTTCTGTAGTGATCTTATAACATATTTATGTTATAATTTTTAAATAAATAATTATATTTGCTCTACCCTGTATTGAGCACTGTTTTAAGAATAGTAATTATTGGTTATTGGAATTGATTCCGTATACACCAATTCTATATTTATATTATATATATATATATATATATATATATATATATATATATATATATATATATATATATATATATATATATATATATATATATATATATATACCCCGAAAAATTTAATTCCTGTCGGGCACTCTGTAGAGAAAGCGCAAATTAGTAAACAATGACTACTACTGCTAATACTGCAAAGCTCTTTCATGAATTGAGCCCTCTTGGTCATTGTCGTGTTTATTCGAAGAACAGGTATATAAAAATTCGCCTTCCGCTCTCCTGGGCGCTGATAGCTCAGGGGTATAAATCCGACTTAGGCAATCGGATGTCTAGTCACACTGACGAGCTGTGATACAGCGAAACAGTCTGTGTATGACAATTATATATATATATATATCGTCATACACATCAAATGAAAACACTCAATGAATGAAAAAAATAGAATGTACATGCACGTGAATACACGATATATATATATATATATATATATATATATATATATATATATACAGTGTAACCCGGATATAAGAGAGTTGTCGGGACTGGAGAAGAAGTCTCTTATATCCGGGTTTCTCTTATATCCGGGTCGGATCTAATTTATATATATTAACACAGGCTCTAATTTGGGACCAGAGAAAATATCTCTTATATCCGGGTTTCTCTTATATCCGGGTCTCTTATATCCGGGTTACACTGTATATATATATATATATATATATATATATATCATTTGATATTTTAGATTCTCATTATTAAAATGTTTGATCTAAGTCGAAACAATATAAACATAACTGCATATAAATCCTATTCTTATAATATTCTAAGTTAATCTCTACCGGACTGGCTGGATTGATGTCACCATTTGCCGGACTCGTTCAGTTGCATTTACAGCCACTTCAAACCAGACTGTGACTGGTGACCATTGGCCGTATTCTTCGTTCGCCAACACCTGTTCGAAGAGAATATACAATAGATATCAAAAGCAGAAAGGCAATTCTTGATTAACTGTTGCAAACACCCACGTCTCGCTGGGCCACGTCCCTAAAAGTCGCGCTCTTCTTGGGTGGCAGGTGGAAGCCAAAAATAACCGATTGCTGTTGCCTTTTGATATTTCCCACTTGGAAGAGGAATCGTATTTTTGCTCTAATCAAATGATCGCGAACTCAGTTCTTGTCTTTGTTTTATTTTGACACTTATTGTTGATTTTTTTCCATCGCAACACTTTGGATAGATACTCTTGATACTCGAATAATTGATTCAAGAATCTAACCAGAGTGTTACGATAACCTGCTGGAGTACAATTATTAAAACATTGAAAATTAAGATACTAAGTTCTTTGTTTGAATCGTCACGTTTGTTTAAGTTTCATTCATATCTGCTCAATGAGCATTTACTTAAATATTTGTATCTATAAAAAGAATGTATAAATGTATGTCTTAAAATAATTGTCGGACTTTGTCCATTTCATAATGTGCGACGTCATTTGTTTACATTTAGATACGCTTTGAGCAGATATGAATGTACGTGAGAGATTCATGGAAGATAGAAGTTTAAAAGCAGTAAAATCGACCTTGCTAATTGAACGATCCTCCGTGGCTCGATTGATTACGGGAGGGCAGGCTAAATGACGGTTCTGTATAGAATACAGGTTCGATTCCTGTCGGAGGACGAATATTTGCTATGAAAATTTCTCGGACATTCAGACCAGTAAATGTTATTAATACTGTTTATTATAAAATAACGTTTACTTAAATATTTGTATCTATAAAAAGAATGTATAAGCATAAAAATATTATAAAATAATTGTCGGTCTTTGTCCATATCATAATGTATGCTGTGAAAACTGAATTCACCCGAGTTTTTGATTATATTTCTATCTTCGATAAATGTACACGTCTCTTTTATTGGAACCACCCTTTATTAAAATTTGATGACAACAAACAATACATGTCGTTAAAAATGAATGTTTATTGATCTTGAGTACGCAACCGGTTCCTACCCATTTTTAAAAAATTTTTTTAATTAGATTTAGCCACTGAAAATTTTACGATTTTCCTATTTGAAATTTATGATGAATCATAATCCTTCAATTCTTCTTTCTTTTTATGTGCCATGTCCTTTCAGGACGTAGGCAATCATGGCCCTCCACCACCTTCTATCCCTTGCTGCTCTCAACAAGTTCCTTCCCTCTGCTTCCTCCCTCAGAACACGTTCAATCATCCACCTGCTCAAGCTCGTCAGGTATGTCACGCGCTGCTTTCCCTTCTCTCTCTTCCCTTCTATTCGACCCGTGAGTATCAGATTCTCCAGGCCCTCCTTCCTCATTATGTGTCCCAGAAACTTCAGCTGCCTCTTCCTAATGTTAACCATAAGCCTTCTCTTTGTTTGCAATCTCTCTAAAACCTCGGTTCATGATATCCTTAGCATCCTTCTGTAGAACCACATCTCCGTCGCCTGGAGTCTCTTCTTCATCTTTGAGGAAATCGTCCAACATTCGCTGCCGTAAAGAAGGACAGATGTCACGTAACTACTGAGTATTCTTTTCTTCGTTGTTTTGCTTTGTCTCTCTTTTCCTTTATTCGACCCGTGAGTATCAGATTCTCCAGGACCTCCTTCCTCATTATATGTCTCAGAAACTTCAGCTGCCTCTTCCTGATGTTACGTATACGCCTCCTCCTTGTTTGCAACCTATGATCGTTCTTCTTTCTTTTTATCTGCCATGTCCTTTCAGGACATAGGTAGTCATGGCTCTCCACCACCTTCTATCCCTTGCAGCTCTCAACAAGTTCCTTCCCTCTGCTTCCTCCCCGCCCCAGACCACGTTCTGTTATCCACTTGCTTAAGTCCGCCAGATATGCCACGCGTTGTTTTCCCTTGTCTCTCTTTCCCTCTATTCGACCCGTAAGTATCAGATTCACGAGCCCCTCCTTCCTCATCATGCGTCTCAGAAACTTCAGCTGCCTCTTCCTGATGTTAACCATAAGCCTTCTCTTTGTTTGCAATCTCTCTAAGACCTCAGTTCATGATATCCTTAGCATCTTTCTGTAGAACCACATCTCTGTCGCCTCGAGTCTCTTCTTCATCTTTGAGGAAATCGTCCAACATTCGCTGCCGTAAAGAAGGACAGATGTCACGTAACAGCTGACTATTCTTTTCTTCGCTGTTTTCCCTTGTCTCTTTTTCCCTCTATTCGACCCGTGAGTATCAGATTCTCCAGGCCCGCCTTCCTCATTATGTGTCCCAGAAACTTCAGCTGCCTCTTCCTGATGTTAACCATAAGCCTTCTCTTTGTTTGCAATCTCTCTAAGACCTCGGTCCATGATATTCTTAGCATTCTTCTTTAGAACCACATCTCCGTCACTTCGAGTCTCTTCTTCAACTTTGAGGAAATCGTCCAACATTGGCTGCCGTAAATTGAATAAGCTCATGGCGAGTTCTACGACAATAAAATATCCGTATTATATCCTCTGTCGCATCGTTCAATATTTGAGCTCAACAACCTTAGCAAAATATAGTAATAACAATCAAATATGAATAGTGGCCGTTATTTTAAGAAGTAAGAAGGTATAAATGAAGATTTGAAATTGACAACTTTTTCTATTTCACAGAAACAGCCGTTAAACATCTTTTCTTTCGTATTTACCCAGTCCAGCGATAGTCGTTAATCTCGCGTATCATATTCTGGCCCTCCTCTTACTGCTTGGGCACTTATATAGTCCCTCTGCCATAGCTATGTTAATTAGGCAGTCATTTAATTATCACTACAGTATATATTAACATAATATATGCTAATACATTAAAATGGGGAAAGAGAGCAAGGATAAGAATGTATACGAGATCTGATAAAAAAAAAAAAAAAACATATCGGTACTGATGCTAAAAAAAGTAAAACTACAACACATATGAATTCGGTATTTAATCTCCTTCGAAGTAGTCGTCTGAAGCCACACTATCCAGCATTGTTTCCATTGGTGGAAGCAGTCTAGAAACTCATTTTTTGGGATGGGAGCAGCTGCTTCTTTGCATCTTGGATTTCTTCGGCGTCTTTAAATCTTATTCTTTTCGAGTAGGATTTGATTTTTGGAAGAGAAAAACGTTTCATGGGGGAAGATCTGCAGAATGGGGTAGTTGCCAGAACTGGGGAATGTTGTGCTTGGTCAAAAACTACTGCACAAGTCGTGGTCACTGATGGAACCTCTGTATTTTGGTGAGACGACCACACTCTACACACATTCCTTTCAAGCACTGCGATAAACAATGAAATTAAGTTAGAACGCTATAACTTAGTGTCCATGCGTGAAAGAGATGAGGGTAGCTCCGTTACCATGGCAAATGTCCCGAAATCTTTTGTTCAGACCTCGTATTCCTCACCGTAACGTGATGAATCGAAAAACAAAAAATATTTTTCTTATTCTTTGTTTTAATAGCTTTTCATTCATTATGTATTTTTTTTCATCCTTTCTTTAAATATATTTTCATATATTGTTTTTCTTATTCTTGCTCTACCTCTTTTGCTTTAAAATATTTTCATATGTTTTCCTTATCCTTGCTCTTCCCTCCTTTGCTTTAATATATTTTCATATTATGTTTTTTCTTATCCTTGCTCTCCCTCTTTGCTTTAATATATTTTCATATATTATATGTTATACGTTATCATTGCTCTCCTTCCCTTTGCTTGAATATATTTTCATATATTATATGAATATATACTTTACAAACTGTCAGGTTTTAAAGCCATAAAAGCATTTTGTACACTACTTCACATTATTTACAAATATTTTTGTATCTTGGTGAAAACAGACCTCACCATCTATTTGTACTTCCTCGCCTTTATACAATTTTTGGAAATCGAAAGATCCCTCACATGTACTTAACACCCACTCTTTATTGGAGGGTCAAAAGTATAATACCTTATTACACATTTTACTCCATTTTAATAACATTTACCTTTTTATCGCAAGACTTTGGATCGGTTTCCTCTTTGATTTAATTCATATGTAAATCGTAAATAAGTTTTTGACAAGACAGAAACGTGCATTTAACATCTCGATACGCCATCTTTTATTGACGTGGTTTTAATTATTTCAATCTTCGAGACGGTGATGATTATTAGAACAGAAACACTTCCTCTCCGATTCATTTTGTTTCCTGGCAAAGTTTCTAGAAAGTCGTTCTGAATCAAGTAAAGACAAGTCTATTAAAATCTTGCATAACTCGCTCGTATTTTTGATGACTTCAATAATAAAATTTCTCAGTCCTTTCTTGCGTTTTTTAGTCTTTACTTGTCTTTTAAATCTCTTCGGTATAGTTTTTTTTTATTGGTTATTGTTTAATATATTCTCATGTTAACACCATTTTTGTTGCTGGAGATTAATGGACCGCAAATCTCTAAAATCTATGACCCTTTTATGATATTTTCGCTGATCCCAGAATTAATGCTTTTAGGAAAATTTTAAACCTTCTTTGAATTCACTTCCGATTTCTTAATGTTTTTGGCGGTCCCAAGTAACGCCAATTAATCATAGACAAGATCTCGGTTTTCATGTTAAACAATTCCCTTAGTCCCTGTGCGAGGTCTTGGAATTTCCTATTTTGGATCGACTATCGTTTATCGAATGCAAGTTCCTGGAGGAAGAGAACTTGAATATAGCAGTTTACTAATTAGAATTGTTGAATTGATAATCTCACATTAATTGCTGATAATTGTGGTAGTGAAGAATAAATTAAAAAAATAATAATTTAAATAAGATAATCTCGGTTATTATATTGCTAGATTCTCCTTTAATAAGCAATTAGTATTCAAGGAAATTAATTAGAATTAACGGTAGATAAAGTAGTAACAATTGTTCAGTTATGCCGATCCAATTGTTCTGTGAAGCTTGACGTTTACTTGTCAAAATATTAGGATGAGATTTCATCACTATTTTAGTAGACTCTTTTATTCAAGACTTTCTCTAGGTCATTTTTTTTAAAATTGTTTTCTTTCTTCTTCACTTCGTGT